AGGAATTAACTATAATAGTTTCCATAGTAGGTATATTGCTAGCAATGGGATTCTCAGTCTCCAATACTAATAATCCCTTTCCCCCAAATGGATTGGTTACACCGCCTACGCTGGACTTGTGCTGGCAGGACACCGACAAGGAACGATAGGTGAAAATAAAATTTTTCGCTATAAAGTAACCATGACGGTTGCCAAAGGACCACTTGGAGGTCGCTCACTTATAAAAAATAAGTGGTGTTCCACAAAAAAAAGTCTAAAGTCGTTTGCTTGGGTACCTGTATCGTGGCTTTGGTATCTGTCCCATTCGTGTTTCAACCGTAAAGCAGTTGTGTTTGCATGGCCGTGTTTCGGTTTGAAGGGTGGGATATGGCGTGAATTTACTGGGTACAGAGGAATAACACCTGAGTCCTCAGGAATGGCAACGCATGGGGGTATCATGGGCGAAACAGTATACTCTGTTATGTCCATGGTACTGCATACGTCTATAGGCGACGTTACCACTTTCCATCAGGTGGGCCGTCAGCTTGTTTGCCATTCTAAGTTGTATAAAAAAAATATAACCGACTTCAATTGTGGCAAACTTCAAGCCTTTAAATTCTATTCTATTCCCTTCACATGTCCAATCCTAAGAAAGATTACAAGAGAAATATATCGAGAACGAATAAATAGTGATATCGGTAGGAGCCGTCCTAGACGGACATATGTTGATCAAATAGTAAAGAAGGGCTAAACTAAAAGTACCCGTAACCCGAGAGCCTGTATGAATAGATTGATGAATATAGAGGAAAAAATTTAATAGAAGCACTTAACGTTTCATTGTTTCTGCCTACCTTAAAAGGGAGACAGGCGTGACAAATATGTATGTATGTATGTCCAATCCTGTCATATCGTAGTATGTTTACGACCAGTCTGTTTACGTTATCACCGTAGGTACTCTCTGCGTCATAATTTTTGTTCTAACCTATATACATATGTAAGTGGGAAGAGATTTCTAATAATATATCTTGTCAGGTCAATATCCAAGTAATCCCCCCTGGAAACCATAGTGCTTAATTCCAGGTGTATTCATCACGATGAGCTAACTGGTCTGCCTTTCCATTCTCTCGTATCATCCCCATACTGATGCCCCGCGAGCGTGCACTGTAAGCGCAGGCGGGGTTACAATTCCATTGTCATCCATTAAAAAAACCTATATCAACAACAAGGTAAGTGTGACCAAATTAAAACTTTAAAATGCATTATTATTTATTGCGTGTTAAACAGTTATGATTGTCTACTTTATAACTTCTATTTATTTTGTTTTATAATTTCTGCATCTTTTTAATGCGTAAAAACTCATTTTATTTATTAAGTATTTCTTTTTATACAACTTAGAATGGCAAACAAGCTGACGGTCCACCTGATGGAAAGTGGTAACCGTCGCCTATAGACATGAGCAGTACCATGGACATAACAGAGTATACTGTTTCGCCCATGACACCCCCCATACGTTGCCATTCCTGAGGACTCAGGTGTTATTCCTCTGTACCCAGTAAATTCACACCATATCCCACCCTTCAAAGTGAAACAGCCATGCAAACGCAACTGCTTCACGGTTGAAACACGAATGGGACAGAGGTACCCAAGCAATCGACTTTTGTACAAAGTCTCCCTCTGGTAAAGTAAAAATTAAATATATATACGTCAAGATACATTATGTGTATATATATAAATATATATATATATATATATATATATATATATATATATATATATAAAATAAAAAAACGAGTAAGCTAATTTTGAAAATTAGCTGACAAAAAATTGATCCATTTTTGAAACTTGATGCTCTATGTATATAATCTAAGGTAACAGTGTATTCTGCTATCCCAGTTTCAATCAAAATGTATAACTTTGGAAACCGAACAAAATATCTGTGATCAATATATCTGTAATTTAATCTATAGGATTATTATGTTAATTCAAAGCCAAAACAAATAAATATTATTTATTATCAGCATCGCGTAAATATACACGTCAATCATAATACTTAATACCTATCTTTAATCACACATACATACAGTTTTTATTCATATAAATATATTTTATACATAATTTATTAATATAAGTTTATTTGTTTGTGTTATTTGTGCCTAAGATTATATTACCTATCTAAATAAAATTTAATAATTTTATTTTAAATTCTTAAAAATTACATATATAAGATGCCGTTTTTTTCTGCGGAGCAAAAACTACATATTATGAAATAAAATATACTTATTGACACACGATAGAGCATTCTAAATTCAAATATTTTTCAATGTACAGAAATTCTGGGTTTTCTTCTTTAAATTTATCTGTTAATATTTTAGTTTGATAATTTCATGAAATTTATGCTTTATAGATGATTCGGAGATTAATCATCAAATACTATTTAACAAAATTCTTCGCCGCGTCTGTCTGTATGTTCATGATAACCTCAACGAAAACAAAGTAACTAAATCTACTAAACGGATTTTCATACGGTTTTCATTTTGTTACATAGTGATTTCTGAGGAAGGTTTAGGTGGTAATTCTGTAAGGGTTTGTATAAATAGGTGGAAATTTGATGATGATTGCACATTTTAATAGTCCTTCACCCTAAGTCAGTGGTTCTTTGATAATTCATCTATGATCGTATAATTTTATCTTTTTATTTTGCATAAATGTCTACCAATAATTACTATTATAGGTAGACAGTACTACTATAATGTTATTACTTCAAATTTACGTATATATATATATATATATATATATATATATATATATATATATATATATATATATATATATATATATATATTTACGTAATTGTACGTTGTTACGATGTCATATGCATTTAGTTAATCTTATTTTTATTCGTGAAAATCTGTATGTAATTGGCCATTTGTATTTACTGTTTATTTTTTTTTAATGAAATTTTTAGCTGTCAGTTAAGTTTGTTGCTATGGACGTATGCAACATTAGGGGTATCACGTGCGCGTGCCAACACTGAAGAAACTTTACTTTTACCTGTACTGCCAACATTAAAAAAAATATTTTTATTCAAAAAATATTTAAGTCAAAATATATATTAAAAATAATATAAAAAAATACAAATATATAAAAAGACTAGCTAGACAAATTATCAGGGACACTCCTACTTCAAAATAAAAAAAAATCTATATGTAGAGTCAATTTCGATAGAATTAAACAAATAATTAATGGACCTGATCAAAGGACCAATAATAATAGTACCTACAAATAAATATGTTTCGTTTTGTCACTAAATTTCATTCACTATGTTTCAGTAATAATTTCAACAAAACGGTTACCTTTTCATTAATTTCTATTAAAACACATTATAGATATTAGTCGCGGTGAGCCTTCGAGAGGGAGACTTTGTATAAAAGTCGATTGCTTGGGTACCTCTGTCCCATTCGTGTTTCAACTGTGAAGCAGTTGTGTTTGCATGGCTGTGTTTCGGTTCGAAGGGTGGGATATGTCGTAAATTAACTGAGTACAGAGGAATAACACCTTAGTCCTCAGGAATGGCAACGCATGGGGGGTATCGTGGGCGAAACAGTATACTCTGTTATGTCCATGGTACTGCTCAGGTCTATAGGCGACGGTTACCATTTTCCATCAGGTGGGCCGTCAGCTTGTTTGCCATTCTAAGTTGTATAAAAAAATACATGAGTTTATATCTTTTAAATCATCTATATACTTAATGACAGACATAATATATAATGTAAACAACATCATCATTTATTTAACATGCATTGAAACAATACAATAAGACTGACATGATGAGTTCTGCAGAATTCTAAATAAGTCTAGCATAAAACAAATAATTAATGTCTAATGTTGACAGTAGGATTATTAATAACAATTAGTAATAGAATAAATATATACATACATATTAGAATTGCTTTCAGGGTGAAAAAGTTATTTAATTTAATAAAACAAGGATGAATTGCAAACTTATAGCAAAAATGGCGACTCATCGTGACAAAATTGTTATGATACCAATGTTTGACCAAACTCCATCGAATGCAATAAGAAATATCAAAGTTAGTTATAAATTGGAGGGTGCATTACATATTAAGTATCTCTTTTTTTCTTTCAGATTTCACTTAAAAATACGGCCGAAATAAGAACCTTTGCCTCTTTGAAGACGGTTAAAAATAAATGCGTCACTGAACGATAAATTTGACAGTAATAAGTATCGATAATGATTCTTCCATATATATATTTTTTTCTACGAATATTAATAGTTGATAGACCTCTAATATATCACTTGTATAAATAAAGATAAGGAGCAGGGACCCATCTCAGTACAGTTCATTAGTGTGCGAGTAATAATGAGCACTGTTAGCAGGACAGATTCGACGTAAGTTATTTATATTTTATTGATTCAATTCGAAATTTAAAAAACAGAATTTAAACATTTTTAGAACAACTTCCAAAAAGATGAGATTCTCAAATTGCCAGTATTCCTTTGTAGACGTGATTGGTAATTCGAATAATTCTTTTGAATTTGATAGTATTTACTCGCATATTAATTCCATATTCATTTTGTCGTAATAAACGCAGCAGTTTGTCTTTGCAAAGCATATCTATTAAGAAACATCATAGAAATAGATTACCACAAGTACAGTTCTTAATCTGTGACAGACTAAAAATAGCTTTGTGAATTCTAATTTTTTTTTTAATTTAATGTTCTTTAAAAAAATAACGTTTCGTTGTCTATTAACGAGTTTATTAGTTTTAAAATAAGAATGATAACATTAATTATTTATTATTATTAAATAATAATTAACAGACAGTATTAATTTGCACGACTCAAACAGCTGTTTTCTACTTATTTGCTGTTTACACAATGATGTTTACATTGAATGCAGTTTGATATGTTATGGAGGGAATTTCTTTGCGTACCTGCTTCATCACCTAACGACATAATTGTGTTTTAACTAGTTATATGTTTATATGTTGTGATAATGATTATCATTATGCTATCAAACCTGTAAAAAATTGTAGAGATATGAAAATTTATCGTGTTTTTATCGTAACTGATCCTCCTGTTATAATAAAGGTTTGTGTTTCATTTCAATTAGTACCGGTGCTTGGATAGGAGCAGTTCAACATGTGAGTTCTTTTTTTAATTATTTCAAAACGATTTCAAAGAGTTGAAGGTTTTTTTTTAATGTGATGGTATTTTTATGTATATGTAATGCTGTATCTAAGCTAGGACAGCACCGTTTTTGTTACTTCTTTGAGTCATTTAAAAATATTTAAACTTAACGTGACAGGTTTACTCGTACAAGTAAATAGTACCTATATATGATGGGTATCGTGCAATATCTGCGTGAAATCCAGATCGTAAACTTAAATATTTGTAAACAACGCAAAAGTTTTATATTTAATTTAGGAACGTCGTCGTCATTCCGTACAATTTTGTAATGGCTACAATTTTTATGTCTTTGAAAACTTAAATATTTAAAACATTGTATTTGTTTACATACTAAAAAAATCCATAATTTGAGGATTCTATCATATAATAGATATATCTAGATTGTAACAGTGCCTACCGTGTATCTGCATTGAATATTGTAAGATTTTTTTGTGCAGTAAAATCTTAAATTGTATAATACAGAGTTCTTAAGAAAAACATTGGACAATGGCGAAATTATCCTATAAAAGGATTTTCGTCTATGGGATAAGGTCCGTCGTTTATCTGACTGTAACTACTCTTCTACCAAAAAATCGTTTTCGATTTTGATAAAATTTGTATATTATAATTGTGTGGCGATAACTATGCAGAAATATCAAATTGTCACAAGAAACTCAAAAATTTAACATTTATTGCACCTACTTGTAAAATTTAATAGAGAATCTAATATATTTTTATTGAAATTATTCGACTATCGTAGATTTCGAGTGATGCGAGAATAAGTTTTATTTAAAAATGTTCATTTTATTTTATTTTAATGATAATAATATTCAATTTTAAGAAAATAATTTTAAAATAATATTAATATACAAAGTTGCGAAAATAAAAACAACTAATTAGGTTTATAGAGATAGACACTTGTAATTATGACCAATGGCCAAGGCCTATTGATATGAATTTCTGATAAGTATCAAATAGCGTAATTATTTGATGAAACATATTGGAAAATTATGCCTTTTTTCACTTGAAAAATCTGTCATGGCCACCCACTCGACCGTGGTGGATGTTTGAGTACTGGTAAACTCCTATCAACTATAACCCCATGATATTCTATAGATATAGTCCCTAATCTATGGTTCTGTCTTTTCACCATAAAACCAGGGCTACCATATCACTTTTATAGTCTTCAAAATTATCTATTTTACCAAATTTTACTGTTAAGTACGAAATTAATCATATTTTTGACTTGACTACTTTATAGGGCTCATAGACGATCAAGTCACTGATTAAAATGTAGTCAAACACTATTTGTCGAGTAAGAAATAACATAAAGCAGCTATCAAGCTATTCATAGTTGCATTATTATTTATTTATTGCCATTTATTAGTTTAAGTGTTATTGTTTTGATCAAATTATGGCGAGCTAACTAAATTGCTTGTCAGTTACGCTTAATATGCACCATGCATGTTTCTAAATGGGTGATGATTTTTGACGTAGATATTCAAATTAGAATCAAATTGACGTCAAATATACGTTAAGGTGATGTTTGTTTATCTTGTATTTTATTCGCGTATGGGGTCAGGTAAACCGTTGTTCGTCGATCAGATCGGGACTTTTGTGCTTTCTCCTGCTTTATACTATCATTTTATAGATCCTTTGTATTAATTAGCTTTACGATATCCCATGGTTTAAGATATTTATAGTCTCCTGGCTCCGGATATGCTGTTCTCAGTAGACTTTTATTTATAGTCTTCTAGCTCCGGTAATGTCGTTCCCAGTAATCCTAAGCATAATATCCATTTAATATTTGCTCAGTATTATGTGATCTCAATTTGAATCCCTCAAGTTCCGTTGTCTATCCGGCACGAAAAATTGCATATTCCTTCGTTTAGATTTAGTCGAATTAACATTACGTATCTAACCATTTAACATCTACAAATAAAAATATTTTTATAAGGTAATTGAAACAAAATAAACATACAAATATGTTTTTATATCAATCGCTTACAAATGATAGTAGTCGTTATATAAAAATTTTAACATCTTATCGCAGTGAAAGGTTAACATGGCAAGTACAACATATGTTTCTCAGATAAATGGCTAATATGTTTATACAATACAAAACAAAATTATGACTTTTCGAACATTATACTGGAAATGGCCCGAAAATAAGTAAACAGTCCACGTGATGAAAAGTTAATTTTTAACTTTTGCGTTTTTAACTTTTCGGCAATAAAGAAGCAGGTATGTAGATACTATTTACATACAAAGGTTTTTCATCGCGTTAAGTCCTGATTATGTATTTAAAATATGTGTTTAAAACACGTGACAAATGTTGTAATACATATGTATTTTCATGCTAAATGACATTTGATTAGGTAACGAAATTAATAAAGGTGTCTATCGTTAGATAATAAAATAATAAATTATAACAGTTCACTATCATCCCACTGCTGGGCATCTCACCTATAAAGATATTTATCTATTGTTATTATACTGGGAAAGTTGTGTATTCTTTACTTTGCACTACGAAGGGATTAAAACAGTTAGTTCCCTTTTAGGACATCTTGAAAATGGAAAGGAGTAATGACATGTTAGTCTTACTCTATCTCTAAATATACGCTAATATGATTATATAATACTATATTTTTTTTTATAAAATACTAGTTTTTTTCTCGCTACTTTGTATGCGTGTATTTCAGAAGTAGAAAAACTATATAGTATAGTAGTTTCTGCGTGATACCGGAACAAATATACAGACAGACAGATAAAATTACAGAAATTTATTATTTTAGCTTTGATTGCTGTTATAAGTTACCCCTCATATAAATTTTTCATAAAAAGTTCCCATGCAAAGATCATTTAGTTATATTTTGTAAAATAGGTAACAAATATTAGTAAGACATGAAACAAAACGTAATCTTACTATAAGGTCCCTAAAATGTGCATAATGCCGTAAACTTTCCATTAATATTGAAAACAAAGTATAGTTAATGAATTAATAGACTGATTTCTCTATATTATCGTACACATTTGCCGTGTAATCCTGGCATAGGATGGGCCACCACTTCTTTTCTCGTAAGAGGCGATTAAGAAATCTTAATGGTCGAGGGATTGGCAGTAGCGTCCCTCCTAAAACATCACCAAAATCTAATTGCGGGGGGGGGGAAGGAATGTTAGTAATAGAGTCTTACTGATCCATTGTTAGTAATACACCCTATCAGGTCGACCTCCACGTGGTTCCCCCTGGAAACTATCGTGGTTAAATCTAGTAGAATTCGTCACAATAGGCTAAGTGACCTGCTTTAATAATCACCTATCATCCCTCACTGGTGCCCTGCCTACGTATACCGATAGCGCAGGCGGGATGGCTATCCCATTATCACCCATTAAAAAAAACAATTGCGGATGCCAACCTGCCTATCTAGCGTGGCTATTACTGGCAAAACCCCTTTATGGGGGAGTCCTATGTTCAGCAGATGATGGTGATGAAGGATCATCATCATCATATCTGCCATTAACTCTTACCTATACAGCTGTGTAGGTACACGTGATTCTATTTACGACAGTGTAATAAGACCCTACGTTGGAATGATTTACTTGAAATTTGGCAGTGAGATAACCTAATGCCCAAGTTTGTACAAAGGGTACCACGTTATCAAAACACGTCATAAAATACATGCGTCCAAAGTTACATTTATCGTTATGTTTACAATTAGTAGGTAGTTGAGTTAGTTGACCAGGGTTTGGCGTGAATTTCTTTAAGGAATTATTGGAGTTTCATACAATTTAATACTTTATAAACAATAGCATGAGAAACAAAGTTATTATGTATTGTAAAGTCTCCATTGTGCATATCTGTTGAGTTGTAAATTACATAAAATAACCATCATCATACTGATTTTATTATGGTTATTTTATATTAATGGCTGACCATTAACTGTCCATTGCTCAACATAGGCCTTTCCCATAAGGAGCTTTTGCCAATAAATACCACGCTTAGCAGGCGGATTGGCAACCGCAGTTAGGCTTTGGAGATGTTTTAAGAGGGACGCAATTGCCCACCCTTCGTTCTCCTTTAGTCGCCTCTTATGACACCTACAGGATAGGAAGGGGTGGCCTATTCTATGCCGAAACCTCACGGGACCATTTTGAATATTTATTGAGTTATAAGTCATATAAAATACCATATATATGTTAAATTACAATTACATAGGACTAGATGTAATCGCGACATTTTCATTTAACTCTTCGATTATGGACATCGCAGAATAGGCTATGATAGGACCATGGGGTCCATGGTACCCCTCATGCGTTATCACTCCTATAGACTAAGAATTACGAATAGGAATTCAATTTGCTTGAATTTGTAATAATTTTCGAAATCCTAACTGATATCCGATTAGAATGAAAATAAATGAATTGTTTTTCGAATCAAATTGCAATGCAAATAAAGTGACAATCTATCGGTTTAATGATGGGATTGTAATAGAAACTTTTAATTAAAATAATACATAATAATAATAATAATATAATCTTATTTAGTTTATTGGTCAAATATAGAAATTGATTGATAGTTACCTTTTAGGGTCTAAACATGAATGGAGTTTTTTTTTAAAGTTTAAGGAATAACACCTGAGTCCTCAGGAATAGCAACGCATAGGGCGTATTGTGGCTGAAACAGTATAGTTATGATTATGGTACTGCTCATGTCTATAGGCGACGGTTACCACTTTCCATCAGGTGGGCCGTCAGCTTGTTTGCCATACTAAGTTGTATAAAAAGAAACAGTTAATGGATGATATAATGATGATGAATATAAATGTGAAAGTGAATTTATTTATTAATATATTTAATGTTTTTTTTTTTATATTAGTGTATTTAGTTATTCGTTTATTATCTCTTAGTGCCTTAATAAATTAATCAGTCACTATAAAAATTTATATACGTGCCCAATATATGAGATGGAAAAGGATATCCTGGTTACGCGGACGAAGTGGCGTATAAAAGCTAGTATATAATATTTTATAGTATTGAGTAATTCTCCATTGCAAAATTGTTTTAATTTAAAATTATCAAGTAAGGAGTCACGCGGTAAAAATATTTTCAAATTGGTATCTAACTTAAATTTATAGATACGCATTGAAAAAAATATCTATTTATCTAATAAATCCGACATTACATGGCCGGCCTTCGAGTTTTATCAATTTAATCAATTAATTGTTTTTATGTAATTATCATTGACAAATTACCTACATTATGTTATTAATATTAGGTACAGACATTTACGCACGTTGGACCGTAGCCTCTTTACGATTTAGCTGCCCTCTAGGACCTGTTTAATGAATACATGACAGATATTATCTATTTATTTACTTTTTAATGCTCTAATGAAACAATAATACAAAAAAAATATTATGCTATTAATTACTTCAATAAATAATTAAAACGATTAACTGTCTGATGTCTTGATACATATGATTTCGCTACTGCATCTTCATCACCTTCCCCTTCTTTCTTCTATTTTACCTCTTATGCGTTCCTATTTTAGGATTTTTTTAATGGGTGAAAATGGAATTGTAACCGTGCCTGCGCTATCGGTATAAGCTAGCAGAGCATCAATGAGAGATGATAGATTAAAATGAAAGCAAGTCAGTTAGCCCAGCGTGATGAATTCAACAAGAATTAACCATGGTGGTTTTCAAGGGGAACTACTTGGTAGTTGACCTGAAAGGACAATAGGGCTTTCAGACCTCTATCACTAACAATCCCTATTATTATTAAGACGTTAGAATATTTGATGAATGCCAAATTTTTAGCAAATACGATTACTAATTTTGGTAAACTTTTTTGGTTTCGAGTCTCCAAGATTGCTTATGTACCTCTGTCCCATTCGTGTTTTAACCGTAAAGCGGTTGTGTTTGCATGGCTGTGTTTCGGTTTGAAGGGTGGGATATGGCGTGAATTTACTGGGAACGGAGGAATAACACCTGAGTTCTCAGGAATGGTAACGCATGGGGGGTATCATGGGCGAATCAGTATACTCTGTTAAGTCTATGGTACTGCTCATGTCTATAGGCGACAGTTACCACTTTCCATCAGGTGGGCTGTCAGCTTGTTTGCCATTCTAAGTTGTACAAAAAAAAAATTATGAACTCAAAGTTGAAAGCACAGTTGAAAGGTCCACCGATGTAGGACGGGGGTAGCACTAGTTGTAAATGACCCAAATGCACCATACGCTACTATTCCTGAGGAGTAAGAGTATTAACATTGTTTATGCATTATATTTGCAGGGCGGACGAGCCACAAGTAATAACGGTGATCAGGCTAACCCTGGAGGTACTGTGGGCTGCTATTCGAGTAGTATTTGGATATCTAGTATGCATTTTCCAACATATCGTGCCACCTACGCCCAGAGATGTTTCAAATGAAATTGTATTGGTAAGTGTGAATTGAGGATGATATATATATATATATATATATATATATATATATATATATATATATATATATATATATATATATATATATATATATATATATATTATTACTAAGCAGCAAAAACGCTGGTAGACACTATTAGAAAGCCTGTTTATAAGCGAGAGGGTTTTTAATTACTATTATTATATACCAGTTAGATCATCATCATCATCATCCTATCAGCCGTTAAATGTTTACTGTTGAACATAGGTCTCCCCTTATGGGGGATAGGCTTCCTCATAGGGAGTTTGCCACTAGTCGCCACACTCGGTAGGCGAGTTGGCAACCGCAGACTATAATATAATACGACATAAATATCCTAAGATAAGCTATAATCTAATATATAAAATTCTCGTGTCACGGTGTTTGTTACCAAACTCCTCCGAAACGGCTTTACCGACTTTCATGACATTTTGTGTGCATATTCGGTAGGTCTGAGAATCGGCCAATATCTATTTTAATACCCCTCAATGATAAGGGTGACCTACCCCTAAAATTTTTTTTTATATTTTTTGACAAAATTTTTAATTGTGTTTTAAATATGATTTAGCATTGAAAAGTACATACTGCTTTAAATTTTCATCATTTTACGATCAACCCCTGTATTTTAATCGCGATTTTTATATTTCGCAATAAGTGGTAAAACAACGTTTACGGGGTCAACTAGTAATATTATAAAGAGAAGATATTTTATTTTTTGCTCGATCTTTCACCTGGCCTGAGCTGGTGTATTTTATTTAAATAAAAATTAGAAATTTCCATATATACCCGTGGAAAGTCGGAACAAGTCACTAGTTGTAAATAAAAACCCGTGGAATTATAAAAATACAAATCAGTAATAATTAGGTGTATATTATAATACATTTTGAGTATCAACATAAAGATAAAAATTCCTAGAATTAGTTAATTTACTATATTTATATCAATAGATAATAGTGTAATTATCAACAACTAGCTACTGGCTGATAATGTTACTGAACTTTGTTCAAGTCGAGTAATCGGATTCAATAGAATATTTTTATGATAACAGTAATTATGACCTAATATTATTTAATTTACGAAACACCTAAAGTTCTATCAATTTTATAAGATTCAAGCAATGAGCTAATTTATTTATTTATTCATTTATAGCAAAGCAACATATTAGAAATTAATACATTAGTAAAGTATCACATAAAACAGCACCAAATTTGCACACCAATAACTACTCCGCATAACATTCGATATCATAAATATTAAAAGAATGGCGACTATAGATTGAAAGTAACAAATTGGCAGCCTCAATGTAATATTGCAAGGATTGTAGGAAAATTTCAAGGTCCATACATTGGTATATTTTCTACACATGCGCATAATTGGATTGTGATATGATACATTGTTATTACTCCTTTTAGCTCTTCTCTTTGTAATGTAAATTCTAAACTTCAGATCACAGGCACCGGACATGGCATGGGACGAGCGGTGGCTCTGCGACTGGGCAGGCTAGGCGCTACAATTGTGTGTGTGGACATCAATAAACAAAACAACGACGAAACTGTAGAGCTTATCAAGCAAGAAAAAGGAAAAGCCTATGGATATATGTAAGTATTTCATTTGTCCACTTCACATATTGTACTTATAGTGAAATTATTGGATAGATACTGTGACTCAAGATTTTCATATTGTTTTAAAATTATAACTCCTTTCCACAACAACACGAAGGATATCCTGGACGTCACAGTATACTCGTACTCTGTGATGTCCGTGTATAGGCTACAGTTACTATTGTAAATCAGGCAGCTGATTTGCCTTTCTAAGTTACATTCAATAAACTAAGGTTAAATAAACCGTGCACTTTCTAAAGGAGGAGTTAAGACGTCTCTGGAACCATGCAGGAGACGAGTTTCGATAGTGGATGAAGCAAGCAAGATGTATGGATATAAGGATAAAAGGACTTTAGCACTTTGATCTCTCTACTTACCTCGTTAAGAACAACCTACGTAATGTTAAAAATAGATTAATATGAGACCTGTTTAAATTTTCAGATGCGACGTCACCGACCGTGCCGCAGTCTTTGATCTAGCCGCAAAAGTCCAGAGGGAAGTTGGTATTGTGACCGTTCTGCTCAACAATGCTGGTATAATGCCTTGCAAACCTATCCTTAGACAGTCCGAAAAAGAAATTAGACTTATGAATGACATCAATATCCACGGAGTTTTATGGGTAAGACACTAATAATAATACACGCGATTACAAATCTTTTAAATTTCTGCCTCATGACAATGACTTCTTTGGAGTCTATGAAACATGGGATTTTATAAATATTTAGAGTTCAAAAACAAACTGCATTATTGTTCTTCTCGTCAGTTAAATAATAATAAAAATAGCTGTGTAATCCCGGCGTAGAATGGGCTACCCCTTTCTTTCTCGTGAGTGTCATAAGAGGCGATTAAGGAAACTTAACATTTGAGGAATAAGCAGCATCTCTTAGAACACTATCAAAGTCTAACTGCGATTGCCAACCCGCCTATCAAACATGGCAATAACTAGCAAAACCCCCCAAGGGAGAGACCTATGTTCAGCAGTGGACGTTTAACAGCTGATATGGTATAGTACGGTATAAGAACAATAAGTGTCACACAGTTACAGTATTCACCTGATCCTCAAGCTTGGATACCCTGAGTTTTGAGACGACTCTATAATTCGTTTACAACGAAAATTCGTTTACGACGAAAATTCGTTTACGACGAAAATTCGTTTTCTAAATTGTCTCGACCGGGAATTGATTCTGGGACCTCTTCAATATAAAGCAAAGTACCTTCCTCTGCGCCATGGAGTACGTAAAAAAATAATATATTATTCATGTGATTCTCTAGAACGGGTTAATATGTACGAAAAGTTATGAAAATTTATAAAGTAAAACACAGTGTAAATAAAGTACGAAGCCTTTAACAGCCAGTTCTCTCTGCCTACCCTATTGTGGGTGATAGGTAATAAACCAAAATAGCTAATTTCTTTGTGAAATTGTGTTAGTAATTTAAAAATATATAATATTTCAGGGCATCCAAGCATTCTTGCCAAATATGCTCGAACGCAACTACGGTCACATAATATCTATGAGTTCCATGGCTGGACTGATGGGTCTACGTAACATTGTGCCATACTGTGGCTCCAAATTCGCCGTCAAAGGTATCATGGAGGCACTGCGTGTTGAACTGCATGAAGATCCCAGGGATTTCAGTGGAGTAAGTTGCTTTTATTTATGTTTTATACCTGCTGTTTGTACCTGCTACTGAGATATGTTGATTTACTGCCAGAAAAAGCCTATGTCTTTCTCCATCTTTACTATGAAATAAATATATTGTCAATTATTATAATGATTGGCGTGATAACTAGTATAAAACTATATAAAAAAAAAACATAATAAATGTATAACTAGCAAAAAGCATGGGGGGTATCATGGGCGAAACAGTATACTCTGTTATGTCCATGGTACTGCTCATGTCTATAGGCGACGGTTACCACTTTCCATCAGGTGGACCGTCAGCTTGTTTGCCATTCTAAGTTGTATAAAAAAAAACTCTCCTTATGGGGGAGGCCTATATTCAGTAGTAGAGAGTAACGGCTGATATGATGACAATAATGGCCATGTAGTCCTGACATAGAATAAGCCACCCCATCCTTTTCTGTCAGTGTCGTAAGAGGCGACTAAGGGAACTTTATGGTCGATAGATGGATAGCAGCGTCCCTCTTAAAACATGACCAAAGCCTAACTGCAGTTGCTATCCCACCAGCCAAGCGTTGCAACTACTTGTAAAGCTCCCCTTATTGGGAAGGCCTAAGTTCAGTGGTGGATAGTGATAATGGATTTAATTTTTTTTTTATTTGTTCAGATCAAACTAACAACGGTCTATCCTACAATGGTGAACACCGGTCTGTGCAAGAAACCAAATCTCCGTTTCGAGAAACTTCTGAACGTGGTCGACACTGATCAGGCCGCGGACGCTATCGTCGACGCTATCAGACGTCAATACACCGAAATCAGTATACCCGCTGATCTATTCTACTCGAACAAGGTGATTTATTTTTTCTCATTACTTGTTTTATCTATACTTGATACTGAGTTGGGTAAAATGTAGCAATATCTATTTTTTTTTAATGGATGAAAATGGAATGGTAACCCCGTCCGCGCTATCGGTATACACCGACGAGGCACCATTGAAAGATGATAGGTGAATGAATACAGGTCAATTGGCCCACCATGATGAATTCCACAAGAATTTACCATGATGGTTTCCAGGTTGAACCGCGTAGAGCTCGACCTGAGAGGGTATATTGCTAGCAATGGGGCTATTATACCTCATTACTAACAATCCCTTCCCCCCCCCCCACATATATATTTCAGTTATAATATTTATATATTGATTCATGTCCAAAAGAACTCAATATATAGATATTAGAGTAATACTCAATATCAGTCATGCCTAAATTCTACACTAATATTATAAAGAGGAGAGATTTGTTTTTTAGTATGTTTGTTTGTGTGTAATGGGTAAAGTCAAAAACTAATCCGTCGATTTTAAAATTCCTTCGCCTATAAAAAAGATACACTATCAGCCAATAACTAAATTCAAATTCAAAAATCATTTATTCATGTAGGACATTTTAGCCGCTTATGAACGTCAAACTAGGCTAGGCATTAAATATAAACAATATATTATTTAAAATAATATTATAAATCTCTAAGAAAATACAATAATATAAACCAAAGTATCAAAAATTTGCTTATTATAGCTAGTATAAAATACTAATTTATCTACCCATGTGAAGCCGGGTCGGATCACTAGTGTAGTATGTTTTAATGATAAGCAAAGTTAACCTAATTCGAACACTGATTCGATACCTAATAGTTTCTAAGATACTCGAGTACTCATATAGAACTTCGATATACTACAGTATTTAAATACAGAAGGTCTACCATGAATTGAAATTCCGAATTTTCCGACATAATTCCGTGTTTTTGTTCATACCGAAATCAGTCAAGTAAATGGTTACCATTTCGTTCGACATAAATCCTATCATAATAGTCTCAATGAACGATATTTCAACATTTTTTATATTTTTGTACGGTTATATTCTGTAATTTTAACATCGAATTTGTTTCGTTTGGCCCTGAAATTACGGAAATCATTTCACGGTAGACCCTCTGATCGAGCCCATTTAGGAAACGAACTTACGAATATTACAATTGACTCTTGTTTGGTTATTAGCATCACGTTAATTCATTAATACTTCTTTTTGTTGACAGCTCTACCGATTGCTGCCAATCTCCTCAGCCTTGGTGTGCACTGATCTCTTGGGAACCGGTTTGGATCCCGACGATGTGTAGGTGAATTATTAAAACTGGTACATTATGGTACAGACAAATAAATTAACTTATTAATTTAATTAGAACAAAGTAAACTTGTGATTGCATGTAATTTGTTTACATGAAACAGTGGTTTGTGGATCAATTGAACCCTCGAACACTGTTATGGGTAATATGTGACATTTCAATGAATTAATTTTGTTAATAAAATACTACCACCTATTTATACGTTTTATTTTCCAATTATATTCCTTTTTTAAACTATAAAAAAATGTGCTCACGATAGTAACCTCTTGTGCAGTTACGCCTGTTGAATGCTGACGTTTTGGTTAACGTTACACCAGACTTGCTCGCAATTCTCTGACTATTTTAGATATTTTTTTGTTGGTGAAAATGGAATAGTAACCCCGCCTGCGCTAATAGGAGACGCTGGCGGAGCACCAGTGAAGGGTGATAGATGAGAATGAAAACAGGCCAGTTAGCTCATCATGATGAATTCATCAGGAATTAACCCTGATAGTTTCCAAGATGAACCGCGAGGAGTTCGACCTGGTTGGGTATACAGTTAGCAATGGGATTCTCAGCCTCCATCACTAATAATTTCTTTCCCCCCAAAATTTTAGAATTAAATGGCCTAATGGAGAATTGTCGTGTAGTTCCGGCATAGACTAGACCACCCCTTTATTTTCTGTGTTTTTTTTTTTATGGGTGGGTTATCACATTTTTCACTTATCACATGAATTCAATAAATGGCGGATCATTTTGTTAATGAGGATTTTAGTGTCAAATTTAAACTTTTTTTAAGATGGGGATTGTGCTGTCAAATTGAAACTTTTTTCAGTGTTGACAGTACAAGCATGTTGTTATGTCATTCATGTTAATTTTTTTTTATCATTTCACTTTATACGTAGCGAAGCACGTACCGAATATTTATGTTGACAATATTTCTAAATTTAAAATAATTTGCTTGTGAATACGTTATAGTAGTGTTTTTCAGATTAATTATTAAAAATATTAAAACTACACAGAAATTGCGTTTTCTAAAATAACAAATATTAAAATAGTATTAATTAATTTATTTATTAAAACAATTATAACACTATTATAATATAAATTTTTAATTTAATCCTATGATCACGTGATGTCTATATTTATAAGTTTTACTTACTGTTTAATACATAGTTGATTCTACTACAATTATGTATTCTATTGGTTTTGTATTGATTTCCTTAAATTGTTTTCCTAATCACAATTTACTTAATCACTAGTAACAATATCCTTATGTCCTATACTTTAGAGTTCAAAGTCTTCAGGAAAGCGGTCGCCTGTCTCTTGGTAGGCAGGCATTGTCCAAAAGCTTCTAATAACAATGGCTCTTGATCTACAGCCGCTCTGAGGACAAAAATATTTCTGAATATTATGTTAGGCTAATTTAATTCATAAACTGAATGTTTAATTTATATTGATTTATTTAATTAATGCTTTATTGTACACCCTTATTATATATAAAAATATGACAGAGGTAATGAATCGTACAAAGGTGAACTTAAATGAACGTTCATATTTTTTATTCCAAATTTAACAATATTTAATGGCATGAACTATTGTCTGAACAGAACTGTTATTGTCGTATTTGATTCGATCACACTGTGAATACATGGTGTAAAAAATTCATAGAAACTTAATAAAGGTTGTAAATTTTCTACTACAAGCGCACATAGATATATCAACTTTTTAGATACGTATAACACAAAGAAACTGTTTTTGTAATGTCATATACTAAAGCTTCCTACCTATATTGTGTACTAACCTGTAGTCCTCAATTGAAACTCGTCCGTCCTTGTCTACGTCAAGCTTCTTTAGAACCAGCTCCACTAATTCCCTCACTCCTTCATCGGGGTCTTCGTCTCCAGGTTGTTTCAAGAGAGAATTCCTAGAAATGATATTTTGTTTCTTTACTAAGTTAGGTTGGCCTCTTTTTATTTCAAAATATTTTGTAATTATTCCGAAATATATAAATATATTTCGATTTGGTAGTAACCACAAACATTGATAGTAACAGCTCAAACTTACGTACAACAAATGCAAAAACCTCATCAAACGAATTCACCTAGTATGTACTTGTGGGGGGAGGGATTGTTATTAATGCGAACTGCCAGTCTTATTGCTAGCAATGAGAAGCTATACCCTAATAGGTCGACCTTAATACGGTCCCCCCTGGAAACCATCGTGCTGAATTCCAAGTGTATTTATCACGATGGGCTAACTAACTTGCGCCTTCATTTACACTTATCATCCCTCCCTGGTACCCTGCTAGTGTAAACCAATAGCGCAGGCGCGACTACCATTCCATTGTCATCCATTAAAAAAAAAGTATGTACTTATCACTATTTTATGCCAAACTAAATTATTTCAATAGGTACTTAATTAGGCACTGAAGTGCGTACACAGGTACAAGTTAAGATATTCCAACAATGGTTATGTATCAGTTACATAGCAATTAGAATCAACATTTTCTAGAGAGAAGATATGCAGCATAGTATGATCAAATGAACATACTATATTGCATTTCTTCTACATACATACATTCAAGATTGTAACTTCAAGTCTTTACTGGTAGTTACGGCCTCGAATGTATTGCAGAAACTTAGTGGGTCCGTATATTGCAAAACTTATATCTATCTATGTAGAGGCGTTTGTTCAGCAGTGAACATTTTTTTTTATTTTTTTTTATACAACTTAGAATGGCAAACAAGCTGACGGCCCACCTGATAGAAACTGGTAACCGTCGCCTATAAGCATGAGCAGTACCATGGACATAACAGAGTATACTGTTTCACTCATGATAACCTCCCATGCGTTCCCATTCCTGAAGACTCAGGTGTTATTCCTCCGTACCTAGTAAATTTGCTGGAATAACGATGATGAATTTGAATGACTTACTTACTTCAACAATAAAAACATTTCATCTTTACTTATACATCCGTCATTGTTTAGGTCGTAAACGGCAAAACAATGGGCTATTCTTTCCTCGACTGTGCCTCTAAGGAGCTTGCTCAGTCCTTTCACCCATGCTTCGAACTTCAGAGCGCCTTCTCCGCCGCTGGTGCCACGCTCCCAAGTCACCCACATTCGTTCTAGAATGGTCTCCTCAGTTACTAAGTCGAATGTGTTATGCATCACATCTCTGAATGTGCTCTGATCTATTCCCTGTAAAAAAAAACCAAGAACACAATAATTTAAAATGGTGTTTCATAACAATAAAACTCCTTTAATCTTGACAAAACTAGTTTTTTTTATTTAAAAACTAAACTAATTGATAGTTATATTATCATAATTTCAGATTGGTCGGTTGTATCAGTTTTTTTTTAATGGGTGATAATGGAATGGTATCCCCACCCGCGCTAACGGTGTACACCGGCGGGGCACCAGTGACGGATGATAGGTGAGGATGAAGCAGGTTAAGTTAGTTAGCCCATCGTGACGAATTCAATAAGAATTGTTCACGATGGTTTTCAGGGAGGTCCACGTGGAGGTCGACCTAATAGGGAAAATTGCTGTTGTATCAGTTAAACTGTTCATTGCTGAACGTAGCCCTTCTCATGAATGGGGTGCTATATATGGGAGTTTTGCAAGTATTTGCCACACTTAGCATGCAACTTTTGGTCATGTTTTAAGAGGGACGCTGCTGCCCGTCCCTCTACCCTCCATAAGCTCCCTTACTCGCCTCTTACAACACCCATGGAAAAGGAACAGGCGGTCTATTCTATGCCAAGACCTACATGGTGTATTAGAAATAAATATTGTTTCAATGATTTAATTTTAATTTAGAATAGAAAATTTAGTTTGAAAATGACGAAGTTATGGGGTAACAAACACAAAAATACAACCTCTCTCTTTTTTAAAGTCGGTTGATCAAATAGAATAGTGATTCTAAAGGCGCTCTTATAATTAACCGTATCACAAGACAGTAGGTTTTTATACAAGTTAGAATGGTAAACAAGCTGACGGCTCACCTGATGGAAAGTAGTAACCGTCGCCTATAGACATAAGCAGTACCATGGACATAACAGAGTATACTGATACCCCCTCCTGATACCCTCTCATGATACCCCCCATGCGTTGCCATCCCTGAGGACTCAAGTGTTATTCCTCTATACTCTCTAAATGCATTGCCATATCCCACCCTTCAAACCGAAACACAACCATGCAAACACAACTGCTTTACGGTTGAAACACGAATGGGACAGAGGTGCCCAAGCAATCGACTTTTGTACAAAGCCTCCCTCTGGTCTGATATCTATTTTCAAACATGTTAAAAGTCTGTTATACAACATTATTTTTTGAATAATAAACTTTTGTCATTATACATTAATGGATCAGTATATAGATATTGTAACTGATATATATATATATATATATATATATATATATATATATATATATATATATATATATATATATATATATATATATATACCACCTCTATTAAAATCTAATCTTATGCGGTTATATAACATATAAGCATTATAGCATCTTGTCATAGTAAAAATTCTTTTGTCATATTAAAAACATATTATATATAAGTAGAACACGACTGTAACCAACCAAATTGCGTGCGTGCAAACCATATATATTTGACATTAGTTTACTGGAGACGGAATTCTTCCACTGAAATGTATTTATTACTTTGGTAATCATATTGCCAAAGTAATATATAATCAATATACTCGTCTTACCATACATTTAGCTATTTTTTTTTAGCCAAATAATCTCTATTAGACAATCAAAAGTTGGCTAGAAGAAATCCCTTTTAGGGGATAGGCTAAATATACCATTATAGTCATTATATATCCTATAATTTGAGGGTTTACTGAACAATAAAAAGTTACAAACATAACATACAAACAAACAAACTCGTGCTCGCGTCACAGCCACTCATGACTAACGATCACGAATTGATTCCGAATTTCAGAAGCTCGAGCTTTTTCGATCTAATTACACGTAAGTTAAACCGGTAGTTATTAAATTAAAATATAATGTGTGCTAACGAAACTTGTAACAATAAAATTAACAATAAAATCACAGAGACTGCCTACATGCATTTAAAAGCTGATTATTTTAAGTCCTATGCGTTTTTTTTAGTGGGTGAAAATGGAATGATAACCCCGCTTACGCTAATGGTATACGCTAGCGGAGCACCAGTGAAGGGTGATAGATGAGAATGAAAACAGGCCAGTTAGCCCATCATGATGAATTCATCAGAAATTAACCATGATAGTTTCCAGGGAGAACCGCGAGGAGGTCGACCTGGTTGGGTATATTGCTAGCAATGGGATTCTCAGTCTCCATTACTAACAATCCCTTTCCTCCCAGTTCTATGCGTTGGGTCCTTTTAATGGACTCACGCCCTCTTTTATTCACTATTTACTGATGGCTATATTTAGCATTATAGCATAACTATATGGCATTATGGCATATATATAACATTATGGCAGTTACTAACTTAAATAGGTTAACATTACACATTAATAATAAACATTAAAAATAAATAATAATAAATAGAGGCATAGTCCAGAATCTCGCGTCATTTTACAAAAAATATTTTCGTAATTTGAACTAAACAAGAATCAAGCCCGGGACGTCATTTACACAAAACGACTAGGTATACTATAGAGTTCTTAAAATTTCCTTTTTAACTTACATCTTGGTCCTTTATAAATTTTATTATATTTACAGATTGGTCGTTTAGAAATGTTGTCAAAATCGGTACAGTAAGTTAGTTTATAACTGGTTTTGTCACAATTGAAATCGGTTTATTTATTTTTTTGTTGTACATAATCTTTAAAAATATATAATACTAATAAATACGAGTACCAAGAGTAATTTGTTCCAAATGAAATAAAAGCTATTGTACTTGAGTCCTCGGGAATGGTAACGCATGGGGGGTATCATGGGCGAAACAGTATACTCTGTTATTTATGTTATGTCCATGGTACTGCTCATGTCTATAGGCGACGTCAGCTCGTTTGCCATTCTAAGTTGTATAAAAAAACCCTATCCTGGTTAATTTCTCTGGAATATATGACTATGATCCAATTGACCTGAGTTCACCTCATCGTTTCATATTCCATTAGCGCCCCGTCATTGTATATCGTTAACACAAGCTGCTATAATATTTGCATGCATATAAAAAATGCTTCAAATATTGTTTTTTTTTTAATGGGTGAAAATGGAAAGGTAACGTCGCCTGCGCTATCGGTATACGATGGCGGGGCACCAGTGATAGATGAAGGCAGGTCAGTCAGCCCATTCTAGAGAATTCGACTAGAATTAACCACGATGATTTTCAGAAGGAACTGCGTGGAGGTCGACCTAATAAGGTATATTACTAGCAATGGAGCTGTTAGAATGGAATCAGCTCCCTGCCGAGGTTTTCCCAAGAGACTACAGCATGGGCTTCTTCAAAAGGGGGGGTAAAGAGGTCGGCAACGCACGCGTAATACCTCTGGTATTGCAGGCATAATTCATAGGCTACGGTAACCAATTACCATCAGGTGGGCCGTATGCTTGTTTGCCACCTCAGTGGTATAAAAAAAACCCGTTACTAACCATCCCTTTCCATCCAAATATTATGGTTTCCGCCCTCTTAATGTATGAGTACTTACATCCACTTTCACAGGCTGTTGACCGATGGCTGTAGCTGGAGCTATCGCTTGGGCAGCTGCTACTAACTTTCGGTACATTGTAAACAGAGCTTCCAATTCATTCCTGCAAATTATTAAAATTATTTTTTTATGCAACTTAGAATGGTAAACAAGCTGACGGCACACCTAATGGAAAGTGGTAACTGTCGCCTATAGACATGAGCAGTACCATGGACATAACAGAGTAAACTGTTTCGCCTATGATACCCCCCATGCGTTGCTATTTCTGAGGACTCAGGTATTATTCCTCTGTACCCTGTACTGCTTCACAGTAGAAACATGAATTGGACAAGGGTGCCCAAGCAAACGTTTGTTGTACAGTCTCCCTCCGGTCGTATTTGGACATCACCGACTTTCAAACACTCTCAAACACCTGACAGGCGAGTAGTTATTATATAAGCATATTTAGGATGAGGGAAATTAAAAATAAAAATATTACCAAAAGCTTTTTTTAACTTTTTTTTATACCACTGAGGTGGCAAACTATACTTGATACGTCGCACCTGATGGTAAGCGCTTACTATAGCCTATAAACGCCTGCAATAAGAGGGACCGTGTAGTCTCGGCATAGATTTTGGCACCCCTTCCTTTCCTGTGGGTGTCGTAAGAATCAACTAAGAGAGGACGAGGGATGGGCAATAGCATTCCTCTTAAAACATCTCTAAACCCTAACTGCGGTTGCCAACCAGCCTGTCAAACGTGGCATCTCGTCCAACGTGAAACAACGTCCCACCAAGGAAAAGGCTTATGTTCAGCAGTGAACAGTTAAAGGCTGACATGATGACGATGATGTCGAATACGCGCGCGTTGGCGACCCTAAAGAAACCTCTTTACCCCTTTTTTGAAGAACCCCTGATGCTGTAGTAGCTCTTAGAAAAACCCAGATAGAGAAGCTCATTCCATAACTTCAGCTATTTTCTATGTGGGAGAAAATAACTCTGAAACCGCGCTGTACTCTACCATCTAGGCTCTAAAGTATGACGGTAAATTCCAAGTCGATGACGAGCTGTACTATGGCAGAAAGTGGTCATAAAAAAATTATAAAACTTCACCAAGAATCTGTCAACATCTGCTTTTTATATCAGTTAATATTTCGGTTACTCAGACAAGATGATGGCATCACATACCATAATTGGGATAAAAAAGTTTTTCTTAACAATTTTGTCACCTATTATAGCGTCAAATTATAATAAACAAATGAATTTAATTTCACATTAATAATGATGATAAGATGAAATTATAACTAATAACAGAACTACACAAGAATAAAACAGTTAACTTACTTCCTAAAATGTGTACTTTTTAAGGCTTCTAATGTTTTCTCTTTTAATTTTCCGCGCGGCATTTAATCTCTTTTAAATAAAAACAAAATTTAATTCCTTTAATTCTGCATGCGTTTTATAGAAGATTACTTAATTTGGAATATAATATACCAATTAATACTTACAGAAAACTAAATAAATATACAACACAAATTATTTTTATACCTAAATAATTTTGTTTCAATCAAATCAAATTACTAGAAATCAACTCCGTTAAACACGATTTAATTTTGAAATAATTTCATCAATATAAAATTTTTGATTTAACAAAACCAATTGTTGCCAATTCGCGAACTCACTTGCTAAAATGTGTATACTGAAGTAGTACATCCAATTGTTTCTCCTTTAATTTCTTATGGGGCATGTCGTGAAACGAGGGAGGGAAACGCGTAAGTCGGCCGTCCCGCCGCGCCTATATTGTCGACTGTTGAATCAAATCAGTTGAAGGCTGTATTTCATGTACAATAGTGTTGTCGAATTTATAGATACGGACCATGATATGACTCAATGTTAGAATAGTGAACTAAACTTACTTAAACGGTAGTTATATAATTCCTGTTTCGAAGCTTCTCCATTTTTATACGCTCCTCTAGTTTGATATTAAAAATGCTATGTCGCATATGTAAAATATATATTTGTCGGGGGAAAAGGGATTGTTAGTAATGGAGACTGAGAATCCCATTGCTAGCAATATACCCAATCAGGTCGACCTCCTCGCGGTTCTCCCTGGAAACTATCATGGTTAATTCCTGATGAATTCATCATGATCGGCTAACTGGCCTGTTTTCATTTTCATTCTCATCTATCACCCTTCACTTCCCTTCACATTTTCACCCATATATATATATATATATATATATATATATATATATATATATATATATATATATATATATATATATATATATATATATACGCCCAGTAACTACGAGTAAGCACGTAGATGGGACTTATTTGATGTTACGTTAAGACGAACAGACTTGGCCAAGCAAGCTCCTTCTTGCGTTGAGACCACGCAATGATATGATAAAACTGAATGTTTCCAAAAAACCATACAGTGCGTTAATCTTAGACATTATGTTTGTACTTATTATTATTTATCTCTAAGTTGCTGGTGTTTAGTCGGTTCGCCATTGAGTTTGCATTCTGTCAGTTAAAATATAAAATGTTATTTCTGTCTTTGTTATATAGTAATACATAAGTAAAGTAATATGTTTATTCCTCTGTACCATGTAAATTCACTGCCATATCCTACCCTTTAAACTGAAACACAGCCATGCGAACACAAGTGCTTCACGGTAAAATCACGAATGAGACAGAGGTGCCCAAGCAAACCACTTTTGTACAAAGTCTCCCTCTGGTAATTCTAGTACATGCTCAATTAATGAGTTTCCGTTTCACTTCAAGTGTATTTGTTATATACCACCTTGCTCAATAAAACATAGTAGGATTAAAGCACTAAACACAAGGTTAAAACACTAAAACTATACTGTTTTTGGTACAGCTACCTTGCAATTTTTTTTAAAATAATAAGTACTTGCTTCGTGCTTCGGAGGGCACTTAAAGCCGTTCGCCAGTAAATCATGTCAGACATCTTCGTGGCATAAGGCATTCTCAATTGAGGCGTCATTATATTACACTAGTAATAGTATCACTTACTTATTAAACCACGTAGTCTTCAAAAGCAAGTCAAAGACCTTCTGCGGTGGTCGTGCACCCAACACTTGAGGTTTAGGCTTTTTCTGGCGTGCAGGGACCGCGGCAGCAGCGACCCGACGTTCGGCCGCCGCTCGCCCCGCGCTGAGGAAGAGGCTCACTCCTCGTAACGCTATCGCGCTGGCGGCCATACTCAGTTGATGCTTATTCATATCTGCCATTGTCTGTGGTCACCAAAACACACCTATTTCTGTATTATACCTGATTTCTTTTTGCTTAACGTATGGTTCCGGCATAGAATAGGTCACCCGTTCCTCTCCCGTAGGTGTCGTAAGAGGAGAATAAAGGAACTAAACGGTTGAGGCAGCAGCGTCCCTCTTAAAATATCACCAAAACCGAACTACTATTGCCAATCAGCCTATCAAGTGTTTCAACTATTGGAAAACCCCCTCCTTATGGGAGCGACCTATGTCCAGCAGTGGACAGTTAACGGCTGATATAAATAATAATATTTTTATACGTTTATAAAGAATTTATTATATAATTTAAAATCGCAAATAAGCGTCCTGTTACTATTACTGCTGAATATATTTAAGCTAAGCTAAGCCTGTCCATAAAATTTCACAGGAAAGAAATCTAAAGCGTCTGCATCCACAGACTGTATTGTGGTATCGTTTCTTCTGGTGAGGAGTGCTTTCATTACTAAATGTATGTACATCCTAAGATCATGAATGTAATAAGAGACGAAATAGATGTAGCCATCTTCGAAAAGTTTGTTGAACTACACATTCTGAGTCTGTGGCAGTGAGCGTCTGGGCTCACAGACAAGTTCCAACTCATTTTGTGCTAGTCGTCGTCTCTCACTCTTCGAACCCAATATTTTCGATTATTGCGTAACATTCAAATACTAAATACACTATTAGACAAATACAATTATACCTATACCTAAAACTATCGACATTTTCCAAGAAACTTTGCAATTAAGCAAGAGTAAGTTATCTAGCTGGTAATCGTTTGAAGGAAGGTAGCGCGAGGTACCGCGTGAAACTAGGTTAGAACTATTCACTAATTATTAGTGAAGCTTTAACCCACTGTTAGATTAAAACAATGATAATACTACCTAGACGTACCTACCACAATCTAGAGCTCAATGCTTTTGTATCTTACTCGCCGACTTAAGGAACAGGATTTCGTGGAGATACTTTTATAACATAGGGGGCAAACGAGCATGCGGCTCACCTGATGGTAAATGCCGTCAGCCATGTTCACCCGCAACACCAGAGGCATTGCAGGTGTACAGCAGACCTTTTAAAAAGGAATATGCTCTTTTCTTGAAGGTTGTGATGTGGTATCGGTTCAGAAATACTGTTGTTGGAAGTTGATTTCAAAGAGTGGTTGAGCGTGGAAGAAAGTGCCATGAAAAACGTACGGTGAAAGATCACCACAAATCCAGATGGTTGGGATGGAACTTTAATTTGTGGTGGTCGTACGGTGATGAAAATCAACAGCAGATATCAATCCAAACAATTCCTTAGAACACTCCCCATGATAAATTCGGTAAGAGATGTAAAGAGATGTACACAGTTTCAGTGTGTCGAGTCGGATGATAAGGCGCTGATCATTAACAATTCGAGCTGCCCGACTTTGAATAGATAGTAATGTGAACTACCAATCCCATTGTCAGCAATACACCTTGTCAATTCGACCTCCACGTGGTACCCCTGGAAACCATCGCACGGAATACCAGGTATATTTATCACGATGGGCTAACTAACGTGCCTTTTCATTTTCACCCATATCCTTTTGATCCGTCAACGTATACCGTTAGCGCAGGCGGGGTTACCATTCCATTATCATACATTAAAAAAACAGTATACACTACAACTACAAAAGATATGTAAATTACTCAGAAATAACTACTGAAATGTCTTGTAAAAACTTTAAAATATCTCCTTAAAATATCGGAATTTTCTTCCAACACGGCTTGTCGTCGTTAGATGGCAACAATATGAGTGCTTGACAACGTTCACGTAATTTTGATAATAATAACGACTAGTATAGTATTGTTTGTGACAGTACTTTGATATTATTTGTACAGGAGTTCATAAATATGTGTGTTTAGTAATCATTCATTCTGACTCGTTCGTTCGAGCTTTCTCGCTCTCGCCACTCAGCACGTATAAAACGTCGTCACTTTATATATGGTTTTAAAATAATAAATATTCAATAATACTAAATGCCTTTGGACTTTACATCCACTACAACCTGCATACCATAGTGTGGTATATAAATACTATACAATGTGTATTCACGTACTTATTCTCGATTTGGCTGTTGAAAATGATTTTCATATCCTGAATACAACTATCTAATAATAGCGTTTATTGAGTTTATAAATTACAAATTATACTAGTTATAAAGATTACACAGTAACAATATGTACACAAACAAAATGAATAATATTAACAAAACTTAATCATACAAATGTAAGATAAATATGCAACGGTAGGCGGTCTTATCGCTAAACAGCAATTACTTTCAGGCGCCTTGTAAAGTGAGGACCCTGTATGCCTAAACTCGTTTTTACACCTGTGCTCTCTTACTTCGATCTAAGATCTAACATCTAATCCTGATGTCACCGACTTCAACAGTCATTCCTTCAAAAATATTCACACTGGGTTTTGTTTCTGTAGGCCACCAATACCTACATCATATATGCAAAAAAATGTTTAAGTAACAAAGAATTTATTAATTTATTGCTGCTCATGTCTACAGGCGACGGTTACCACTTTCCATCAGGTCAGCTTGTTTACTATTCTAAGTTGTATAAAAAAAAAGTGGTACAATTAACGTAGTAATGTCGGCAATAAAGAAGCAGGTATGTAAATACTATATACCTGTAAAAACATTTACATCGCGTTTAGTCCCAATTGTGTATTTAAAAAATATTTATGCTTTATTGCAGTACTTATAAAATTATACATAAATATACATATTACACTTATAACGCACATAAGGCGATCTTTTCGCTAAAGCATTCTCTTCCAGACAATCTTTGTGTGAAGGACAAAAGAAAATAAATTCATCAAGAATTAATTCCCAAAAATCCCTTTTAATCCCTTTAATATTATAAGAAATACTTAAATCTAATTTTAAGTTTTCTTTACCAGTCTTTTAAGGCTTGTATATGACGAATATTTTATCTATGGAAAAAATATACATCGCTGTACACACCATTTTGCTGTAGGAACCTAAATAAAAGCTAAGGGTGAGGAATTGTTAGTTATGAGAACCAGGGAGCCAATCCTAACAATACACCGCATATAGTCATCTTTCATAATATTCCTCTTGGAAGTTATAGTATTTAATTCTAGGTGAATTTGTCACGACTTGACTTCATTCTCGTCTATCATCTCTCACAGGTACTCTGCTAGTATACAATTTCTTGAAGTAATCTCTTCGAAGTGATCAGTTCTAAGATACTCTATATCTGACCACCATATTTACGTAAGGTAGTACAGTTAGGGATTCCATTTAATTTTATCCCGTTAAAAAATAAGGGATCGATTTTAGAGCTATTCTTCTTTCGTTGATATTATATAGGTTATTTCTTGGCATACATAGGTTAATAAATAGATACGACATGGATCTAAATAAATAAATAATTATGACAGCAATACCAACAGAAAACATTATTAGCATAATAAATCGCTAGCAACTTATCTTTAGCGATTACCAGCCCCATTATATGAAATCACCCTGATTTATCATCAGAAATACTACATTATATTTTCGCAAGTTTTTCGACACAAAACATTGTTTCCATAACATACCTACTTAGTCGACCTTACGTCGAGTCGTAATAAATTGAAGCTTATAAATATTTTTATTTTTTATTTAAAATATAAATATACAGCCCTAACATTTACTTTAGCCATACAAATAGAGACTTGTACTTGGTTAATAAGACGTGGTTAATGGGGACCATAGTCTCCCCCATGAGGAAGGTTTTAGCTAGTAGTTACCAAGCTTGGCAGGCGAGTTGGCAAACGCAGTCAGGCCTTTGGTGATGTTTTAACAAGGACGCTCCTGCACATCCCTCTAACATAAGTTTCCTTAGTCGCCTCTTACGACACCCATGGAAAAGAAACGGATGACCCATTCTATGCCGAAGCCTACACGCCAATTTTAACACCCTAGTAGCATAAATTGCACAAATAGGGTTATGATTCCATAATTATCCATTTCAATATATTTATTTAAATAAATAAATAAAGGACATCATAAGTATTTTAAATACACTATCGGGACTTAACGGGATGAAAAAATTTACAGGTAAATACTACCTACATATATGTACTTGCCTCCTTTTTGCCGACGTTTCAACGTGAATTACACCATGTCGTGGTCACGACAGGACTCGATAATATATTTAAAATATGTGTAAACAACGCGAAAGTTAAAAATTGACTATTATTAGTATTATTTAAAAAAAATATGGTAATGATAGAAAAGAATAACTTGAAGTCCAGCAAAAGTCGATATAATCTATATGTCCATGGTGCGATCACTATCTGTAAGCAATAACCATGTTCCATTAGATGGACCTTCAGATTGATATTCCAAATTATATAAAAAAACTGAACAACTTTCGACAAAATACAGATAATATTAGCTCAAACTATATGAAAATGTACTAAATACATCAGAATATGGCACGATGCTGTCATCAAAGAGAACAAAACATGTTTCATGTCGAAAGGCGATGAAGATCTAGAAAAGTAGAGGCGGGCATCACGAACGGCCTTACGACGGGGCATAATTTGATATCTAGAAAAATGGCATTTGTCAAAGCGTACTATTACTAGGCTATCTATAGTGTATAATTTTGGTACTAACCTATATAAAACTTGTTTCGTTCGTGAGTTGCTATATACATAAAACTTATCATTTTTTTAGCAACTTAGAATGGCAAACAAGCTGACGGCCTACCTGATGGAAAGTGGTAACTGTCGCCTATAGACATGAGCAATACCTTGGGAATATATTGCTTTATTTTTCCTGTATTAAAAAATGCACCGCCTACGTATTTCTCGGTTTGCCCAATGGTTGATTGGTAGAGGACTGGTAGAGAACACCGTCCGGTGTTAAGTTTGCCAAATTTACATAGATTTTTGCTGTGCATTAAAGCTTAAATAAATAAATTTAAAAAAAAATACTGTTTCGCCCATGATACCCCCCATGCGTTGCCATTCCTGAGGACTCAGGTGTTATTCCTCTATACCCTGTAAATTCACTGCCATATCCCACCTTCTAAACCGAAACACAGCTATGCAAACACAACTGCTTCACGGTAGAAACACGAATGGGACAGAGGTGGCCAAGCAAACCACTTTTACACTCTCTTTTTGGTAAATAATCTGGTATATAATCATGGATAGAAGATATTACTGGTAGTTATTATAAGTTATTTAAATCAATATCTTTTCTGTGTGATCAGTATAAGATTTAGATATATATTAAATCATATGTAAAGATGTAGATAGTATCAGAATTTAAATACACGCACGCCATGCATGCTCGAGTTTGCATACAAATGTGGATGAACCTCAAAATTGCACGCGACCTCACATGCTTCGTTGCTCACCAACTTTGTAGTGCCTGACGTATGCTTATCTGCCTTGATATGAAAGGCCGTTTACAAATCTAGGATATTTATGAAGCATTTAAAAACACGAATTTACAAAGTATCTATATTCCACTTGGAAACTTGGGTATGGGTTCGTACAACGCGCGGTGAATTTACCTCAAGGATACAATGAAAAATTCTCACAAGTTTATATTAATGGCACCATTGTCCTTTACCATTAGCAGAGGGAGACTGTACAAAATCGTCTACTTGAGTTTCTCTGTCCCATTCGTATTTCTGCCGTGAAGCAGTTGTGTTTACAAGGTTTAAAGGGTAGAGTACGGTAGTGAAATTATAGGTTACAGAGGCATAACGCCTTAGTCCTCAGGCATGAAGCAATACATAAAGGATATAAAGCAACGCAATAATGCATGAAGGGTATCATGGAGAAGTATACTGTCCACGGTACTGTTCATGCCTATAGATGACGATTACCACTTTCCATCAAGTTGGCCATCAACATTTATAATAATATTTGTATGATGTTGCATTTTTTTTTTATTTTTAAATTCCCTATTAATCAAATCCAACTGGTAGTTCTAGAGACATTCAAACAAACAAAAGCTTTCACATTACATATTTATTAGTATATTTTTTTTTTGTATTTCAGCTGTTAACTTTCTACTGCTGAACATTAGCTTTCCCCATAAGGGGAGTTTTGCCAGTAGTTGCCATACTTGGCAGGCTGGTTGGCAACTGCAGTTAGACTTTTACATACGTTTTAAGAGGGACGCTGCTGCCCATCCCTCTACCATATGCTCCCTTAGTCGCCTCTTACGACACCCACGAGAATGGAAGGTGTGGTCCATTTTATGCCGAGACCTACACGGCGAATTAATTTTACTTATTTTAATAATGATTTAATAATAATTATTATTAATAATATAATTTTAATTGTAATTATTTTTTAATATATTTTAAATTCAAGAACGTTAGCAATAAAAATCAGGTACATTTATTAGATACAATTTACCCGTGATCAGGTCGCGTTAAGACCCCATCGTGAATATAAAATATAAGATTATATATTTTGAAATGGATTTAAACTTCAGTACAAACGCGCAATATCCTAGAATCTATTTTATTTAGTATTAAATGAAATTCGATGCACGTGAAGTAGACCTACTGTGAGTATATGTATGTGATATGATTTTCTTGAATTAAAATACGCAAAGCGTGCTCGAGACGTAGCCCTGTGCCGAATTCAGTATATCAGAGTGGAACAACAACATCGTACTTACTCGTGGTGATTTATTCTTCTATGGTAGACACCGTACAGCACTATAGCACATGTACGTATGTTAAACATATGATTTATTGTTTTGGAAATGCGTATAAACGTGTATCGACTAGTGCAAATGTTCGATTTATGCTGTTGCTTAGTAACCAATTTGGTGGTATCGAATTTATTCGATGTAACGTGATTAACGCTGGCGATGTAACGCTGCACTACGAGAATTCCAGAAAGTAGAAATATTGTCATTTATGTACATATATACATAATATATACATAAATTATCCTACTAATCCCTATTAATATTATAAATGCGAACTGTTACAACACTAACATAATGACATAATATTGCTGACTAGCAATATTATGCCTATATATGTATATAAACTCAAACAAACTCTAAATGGTCGTCTAAGTCGTAATTTAGCTAGCCAAATTACTGGCCAGCTACGGACCTGGTTTCTGCCCGCCGGTCTGGCCACTAAAACTTGTTAGATTCATCCAGGCTCAATAAAACCCTAAGGGAGGAAAGGGATTGTTAGATAGAGTTTGACAGCCCCATTGCTAGCAATATGTCTTACCGACCTCCACTGGAAACCATCGTGAACAGTTCTTGTTGAATTCGTCACGATGGGCTAACTGACCTATTTCATCCTCACCTATCATCCTTCACTGGTGCCCCGCCGGTGTATACCGATAGCGCGGGTGAAGTTACCATTCCATTATCATCCATTAAAAAAAAAACCCTGAACCAAGGGTCTAGCGCGTCGCGAGACAAAGTAAACCTTCAGTTAAAAGCACTTAAAAAAAATTGTGAAAGTGTACAATTAGCTGTGTATAAAAGAAAATATTAAATAAATAATTTGGGTGTGTGAGAAAAAGTTTTTTTTTTTACATTAAACAAGTGTCCCACACTAACAGAACGTTTGTAAGGAAGTTTGGATATTTGTACTCTTTCACGCAAAAACTACTAAACGGGTTTGAATGAAATTTGACTTTATGTATATGAAGTATGATTTATGTATATGATTAACGCGGGTAAAGCCACGGGATATAGCTCCTCTATGTATCAGATCATATCTATTCTATGTAATGTGGCTTTTTAAGTCGGTGATTATTTATACTTTTATATAATATTTAATATAGGTCAAACCTTCCTTTCCTGTGGGTGTCGTAAAAGGTAATTAAAGGAATTTAGTGGTCGAGAAATGGGCAGCAGCATCCCTCTTAAAACATCACCAGAGCCTAACTGCGGTTGCCAACCCGCCTGTCCAGCATGGCGATTACTGGCAAAACTGCTCAATAGAGTACTCCAGAAGCCTACTCTATTAGGCAGTTAGCAGGACACCATAATTCCTCCTTACTATTAGTAAATATTTGCCTTCAAACCTCGTAAACTTTTTACTCTGAACTCAATATATGTTCTACACAGAATATTTTCAACCGACTTTAGAAGGTTTTTTTTTATGTTTGTTAAAACTCCTTCATTTATTTTTTCGAAATCCCGATTAGAATTTTTTTATCTGTAAGGTACTTTCCGAAATTTATTATTTATTTAATTTTTATCAAAATCGGTTCAGTAGTTTAGTTCTTAAACCTAAATAAATAAACTTCAGTCGTGGCATAAGGTTTTGCCAGAAATCAGATTTTTATTAGGTTACATACCTTTATAAGATAAGAAATAATAACTTATATTAAGTAATTATTTTCATACATACATACATACATATCTGTCACGCCTGTCTCCCATTAGGGTAGGCAGAAACAATGGAACGCCAAATGCTTCGATTCAAACAAACCTCTTTCGCTTCTTCCACATTCATCAATCTTGTATTAATTATTTTCATTAATTAAAATATCAAATAATTAATTTAGAATGAGTGGAATCACAATATAAAGAACTGTATAATTATGATTTAGCGACATCTATGGATAACAGAGCTATGCTACAGAGCCTCGGAGAGCGCAGAAGACCGGTCGTTGTAGCTGCAGCATTTATTGTAACTAGCGTAACTATTTCTAGAGTAACAAGCAAGTCGCTGTTTAAACTATTATTAATTTAAATAATGTAAAAAAAATATATAAATAATGTTCATATGTCTTTGAATAACGAGAAGTCATTATTTGGAAATGTGCAGAAAATTTGCTGTGAAATTTGTAGTAAATTGAATGTACTAGACATTACGTACACCGGAACGTATAATGTCATGGTAACTGACAGTTGACACTGTCATATTAAATTGTCAGTGTCGGTAACGTCAACAATTTGTCAATTGTGTTGTCAAAACAAACGTCAATTACAGTGTTGAAGAAAACGGTGATGTTACTTGTTGTGTTGTCTTTGTTTTTACGTGATTGAAAATCTAAGTATAAATGGAATAATTGCATACTTTGGTGATTTAATAAGATTAATATATTATGTTTTGGTGATATATCAATCCACTGGTACCTATTGAATAAGTGCTATAATTTTGAGTGTTCACTCATTCATAAGACAAAGGAAACAGGTGAGTTTTGTTTTTATTTTAATTGAATTCTATAGCGTCTAATGTTTAACTGTTTACGTTGTAATTCTGACTCTATGGCATTTAACGGAATAGGATGTATCATTGTGTGTTCAAGTCAAATCCAGTTTAAATCAATTTCAACTGACTTGCTGATTTTGATTATCTAAATTGTCTTATATAGGTAAGTACTTCATTTACAAAAAAAAAAAAATATAAAAACATTAAAAATTCTGATGACCAAAATCAAAATAAATTGCGTATGTTTTAAATTAATAATATTTACATGTAATAACATTCACATGTAATAACATATTGTAGCTTATGTAGTTATTATTTGTTGCATATTATTCAGAAATACACAACAAATAAAAAATAAATAATATGATATACTAACGTTACTGTGATTTAAAACTAACATCATTTATCAGTATTACCATCATCATACTATTATTGAAGTAGTATCTTCTACTGATCATTTATTAGTTTTTCTTGATATCTATTAATTTTTTAGCACAATAAAAACATTATACCTATCTATGGCAAACTCAAATCCTGATGGCATTCATTATCTCTACCTTTGCACTGGACAGAAAGAATAAAAAATTGTGATGCTACATATGTAGACTGCATGTGTACTAAATTTTGTACAAATATAAAATTATTTCAAATCTATTTGCATATGATTTAGTAAGAAATATTATCAACAACATGTGTTTAAAATTAAACATGTAAAGAAGATGGAGGATAAGAGAAGAATGGAGGATAAATAACTGCAGTCTGCAGTTTTTTTGCTCCTACTTTCTTCCCAAAACCAATGAAAATGTTAAAAATAGGGTATTTTTGAAGCAATCTTAATATATTTTATTTATATATTTGAAAATTCTATCAACCGCTGAGAAGCTGGGCTAGATCTCTAATAGTTTATATATAAAAATTTGCAACGTTTTATTTTTACTTACACTGTAGAAATAATATTTTTGTTTTGCAAAAAATGTTATTAAAATTTTTATATTATATATTTATATACTTACACTGAAACAAAAATCAAAACAAAAAATAATTTTGCTTGAATATTATAAAATAATTCTTTATTTGGAAGGAAATTAAGCTAACTGAGCTTATAATTGTGTGGTATGGTGGGTTTTTTTGGTGAGTGAAAATGATATGGTAACCCCGCCTGCGCTATCGGGATACGCTGGCGGAGCACCAGTGAAGGGTGATAGATGAGAATGAAAACAGGCCAGTTAGCCCATCATGATGGATTCATCAGGAATTAATCATGATAGTTTCCAGGGGGAACCGCGAGGAGGTCGACCTGGTTGGGTATATTGCTAGTAATGGGATTCTCAGTATCCATTACTAACAATCCCTTTCCCCCGGTATGGTGGGTTAACCACCATCAACTTAAATGTTTTAACAGTAAGAAATTTTATCACATCATCCAGTTAATTACAGCTTAAAACAAATCATTAATAAAATACATTATATATTATTCATGTACATAATTGAAGATGAGTTCAAATGTATATATAAATAAGAACACGACGAGCATTATACATTAATTAACTATGAATAACTGTGTGGTCAGTTAATTCTAAAAAAAATAATTTTATACCTTAGGCAATGATATTGATTGAATATTTAATATTCAGAAAGCAAGAACTATCATTACGCTAATCACCACGACAACTAAACAGTAAAAAAATTAAAACGTGAAGGCATGGCAGTAATAGGTACAAATTGTATGGTGAAAAAAGTTTCACCTTAGTGTTATTATCCAGGGGAAAAACAGGCAAATGCATTTTATGGGGAAAACACCCGTATTTCGATTTGTTACTTCCACTTAGAGGTGGACAATATGTATAGCAATATCTATATGTTTTAGTTACAATATATTGGTACAATAACCAATATATTATATATCGATTATCTAATTTATATATTGAATTATATATTGGATCGTATACTGGAGTGTCACCTATATTATCCATGCCTACTTCCACTTGAATATAGTAGGTATCTGTGAAGCTATAAGAGATTTGTTTGCTTTAACGCCCGTGACACGATAAATGCCGTGTTCTGGTTGTGTTTCAAGGTTATTAAACCTGCATTAGATGCTTGCCAAAGCCTTTTATCAACACGTAACCCAATTTTATTGCTCCGAATATTTTATAAATATATATTAATAACTGTACTCAGCAATTTCATCCGCCAAAGGTCGTATCGTGATGATAAATACACTATAATCTTCTGTAAGAAATGAGCCATTAAATGCAAAAAGAATTTTTTAAATCCGACTGGTAATTTATGAGATTAGCGCATTCAAACATTTAAATTTAGAAACGATTAACGCGTTAGTATTTTTTTTATAACACCACGGAGCAAATGTGTATGGTGAGCCTCATGATGGCAAGTGATTACCACCGCCGCCCATGAGCACCCGTAACACCGGAGGCATTGTAGGCGTATTGTCCGTTGTTTAAAAAGGAGCATGCTCTTTTCTTGAAGGTTACCATGTCGTGTCGGTTCGGAAATAGTGCTGCTGGAAGTTGATTCCAAAGGGTGTTTGTGCGTGGATGAAAAACGCACGGTGGAGGACCGCCACTCATTTAGATGGTTGCTTTCTCTGATTATAGTGACCGAAAATTGTGACAAGACATATGTTTTGGATATATATATATTCAAATTCAAATCATCTTAATTCAAATAGATTTCTTTACAACCACTTTTAAATCCTTATTTTTTTTTATTTACTGCAATGTTCGGAAAGTTGTTATCTGTTGAGAAGAGTGCGAAAGAAACTTAAGAGTTACTCTTTTAAATCTCTGTTTACATTATGTGTATTAATTTAAATGTACTATGTCTAAAATTATGTACATATGAAACTACGGTAAGAATATTTGCTTGTTAAAATTTTAGTGTTTCACGACTTCCAATAGAATAAATCATGCAGGTATACCTAATAAATACTTATTAAGCAGGTATACCATGGAAGGGAAGGGATTGTTAGTAATGGGTCTAATTGACCCATTGCTAGCAGTATACCCTATCAGGTCAATCTCCACTCGGTTCCCCCTGGAAACCGTCGTGGTTAATTCTAGTGAAATTCGTCACGATGGGCTAACTGACCTGCCTTTGTTTCCTTACCTGTTTTCCATCACTGGTGCCCCGCCAGCGTAGCCCGATAGCGCAGCCGGGTTACCATTATCACCCATTAAAAAAGGTATACCTAATAAGTGCCTAAGGCAATGTTATACATATTTTAGTAAACTAATAATGTATTGTTATTTAGATATAAAATTGCTGTAATTACCAGCAATGGATACGTAACTAGTATGGAGACAATGGCTCAGCGTCGCACATTACGAAAATAGATGTAGTTTTATGAAAAAAGACGGTAATAAACAAAATTATACAGCTGCGTTTCACAATAAACGCTTAAAAAATAGTGCATTATGAGTAGGAAAATAACGTTAACGTAAACCCAAGGTGTCAAAAATTTACATATTAAAGGTAATTTATCTTAGTATCTGCGGTGTGAATACAGGATGGGCAAGTTTATCCATCAGCCCGTCTTCGGTCGTCAAACTTGCTCGTTAAAGTGATGACATCAAGCCGATTACTAGCAATATATACCTGTAGATGTTTGCTTGTTGATATTTACATATAGATTCAGAAGGACTGAGAGAAAGAAAGATTAAGTACGATATTGTATAATGAATAATATTTATAGTAAATAAATCCAGATATAATAAGTCGCGATACAAAATATTGTTCGGTAAAATTAATTGCTAAGACAAGAAGATTGTCAAGAACGTCACTGTTTATTTTTCTACAACTATGTAGGTTTGAAATGGGTTGGTAGCCTACATGCCCTCTGGAAACTATCGTGGTTAATTTTTTAAAGAATTCATCGCGATGAACTAACTGACCTACTTCATCCTCACCTATCATCTCTCACTAGTGCCCCCCAGTGCCAGCCAGTGTATACCGATAGCGCAGGCGGGGTTACTATCCGACTAAAAGGCGACCACATCAGGGATATGGCTAATTTGATAGTCAATAATAATATTCTGATAGGTGTAGCCTATCAGACAATATTTTTTTATAAAAGCTAGTCAAAGTGATCACATACCGCCTGATGGTAGCAGGCAAAGTGGTCCAAAAGTGAGGGCCGCCATCACAGCAATTTCAGCAATTTATACTGTGTTTGCGGTCGTCATCTTTTGATGTCCTACAAATGTACATCTTTAAATGCAAATCTTACTAAAATAATAAAATTGTAACTGGATGTCTGTGCATGGAATATATTTTAGAAAAATTGATATGAGGTCTAGTTATTTAATAAGAGCAATAGAAATCAATGCAATATTTTTTGAAAATTTGTCTGTATGTATGTTTCTTCCGGCATCACGCAAAAATTATGTAATTTTAATTTCTAGAATAATTTTAATTATTATTATTTATCATTTATCATGACCACGATGTGGTGCAATCCACGTCGGAACGTCTGCAATAAAGAAGCAGGTATGTGTTGGTACTATTTACCTGTAAAAAATTTGTCATCGCGTTAAGTCCCGATTGTTTATTTAAAAATATCACGCAAAAACTCAAAAACTACCGTACCAAATTAATTGCGGTTTTCACAGTTCTGTTCTTGGAGGTTTAACTTAAAATCTGGCGTGTTTTATCTTGATACACCTAGAAGAATCTAAAAGTGGTATATTTACTTTGTTTTCCTACTTCTAAAACTCACGTATACGAAATAGCGGACAGAAAGCTAGTAATTTATGAAGTGTTTAGTGTATATCGCTATGTTAATTGAAAATTCGACATGTTTACTTCGGCTAAGGCCATCTAAATTATTCTCCGCCACGAAGACTATTTTGTACTTAATCTTTCAGTGGGCGTACCTCAGTGTGCCTACGCCATTTGATCACAAATTGAATTTAAAGGGACAGAACACATTCAGACTGAGCCAAAGTCGTCAACATGGGCAC